ATAGCATACACAAACTTGCAGGAGAAGTTTGGCCAAATCACATAAGATAATCAGAAGAACAGACTTGTTTTTACACAAAACAGTTGAGTAACTTCAGCCATTACTGTCTTAGAGCCCACACTCTGGTCCCACAGTGTGGAAGGAGGATGGTTCCCCCAAATTGTGGGAGACAAATTAAATAGTGGTGGAATCCTTGGCACTGAGACAACATGTTCAGCTTTGGAAACGGTAAATGGATGGAGGTGGGAGGCGGGGTTATAAGTACCCAGCCCCTATACAGAACTTAACACCAAATCAGCGATTCCACACTAATGCAGACAGTGATTTCAGAACATCAATTAGCAGCACTACTTCATGCTATATACAGATCCTATAAACTCAAAAACAACCTTATTGGTGCGGTGGGGTCAATTCTAGCTCATAAAGAACTTATATCAAAAAAGAAACACACAAAACTCACTACCAGCCAGTTGATTCCGACTCATAGTGACTGGCCCTGTGCGTTTGTCAGACTGTCAAGCTCTTTTCCAGAGAAAAAGTCCCGTCTTTCTCCTGTGCAGCGGCTAGTAGTTTCAAACTGTTGGCTTGCAATGAGTTAGCAGCCCAACAAGTAGCCAGGAAGGCACCAGGACGACTCCACAGGGTTTCTGAGGTTGTCATTCTTGACAAAAGCAGATTGCCCCAGCAGTTGCTGATATATGTTGGCACGACTGACCTTTTCATGAGCAGCTCAAAGCTTAACCCGCTGTGCCACCAGGTCCCCTTACACAGACGTTATCAAACCAAAACCAAGCCTACTGCCTATATAGGGCTTTCAGGACTTTAACTTTTTTTTTTTAATTTCCAATGAGTTGCTTTACTTCCAGATGGTACAGAGTTCTGGGCATAACAAAGACTGAGGAGCTGCTCTGGCAGGGTTCTGGACTGGGTTCACTCTGACCTCACAGTTAAGAAGACCTAAACATTGTGTGATTGTTCTTATTTTTTACGAAAGTTGATTCTTAAATGGACAGCAGGCTCCAGAACAGCACTTCATTCTAACTATAGGTGGCAACAGATGTTGTAGCAGGGAATCCAGATGTTTACACTGGAATGGAATCAAGGGTCGTCATGGCCTCAGGCACCAAGAACAGCTGACTTTCGGCCAGATTTCTTCATTCCACCTGTGCCCGGGGGCTTTCCCCGTGGCCTTTGCTCGTAGCTCCTCCGGTTTCTTCTGCTCTTCTCTCTGTTTCTGCTGGAACGCCTTCTCTTCCCTGCTCTGCTTCTTGGGTTGTCTCAGGGCCTTCTCGCCACCTTTGTGGCCCGACAAGGCGCCTGCTGCCCCTTCCCCAGACCTGCTGCTACACAAAAGCAGAGCTGGGGGCTGTAACTCTTTTAGGGAGCAGTCTCACCTTTCTCTCCTGGAGTGGTTGGTAGGTCTGTACAGCCAACTGTGAAGCTAGCAGCCAATGCTTAATGCACCTTATAGGGCATCTTAATTATAATTTTTTTTCTTCAGCTTGCTAATGCACGCTTTTAAGTAAGTTCTCCCAACTCCAGTACTGTTTTAAATACTCAGCCTTCTAAATTTAAATTTTCCTGTTAATTAAGTGCCCAGTATTCTACTTCCTGTAGAATTATTCCTTTCTCTAGTTGCTACTTATTTTTATATGCCCCCAAAGCCTCGTCCTTAGAATTCTGTGCAGTTCAAAACGCCCTCTCACATACTCCTTGTAGCATAATGTAACCACAGAGGCCAACAAAGCAATTTTTCCTGTCTTGGTTTTAGAAAAGATACATTTTAACTAAACTTTCACCACTCAAAATGCCTTCACTAAATCTTTCCTAACCACTCCCCACTCTTACATGCAATTGTTTTATATACAGTCACAAGGCAAAATGAGTAATTATACAATTATGCACATGAAGACTTCCTAAAAACATACAATTTTAAATCTGCATTACACACCCTGTAACTCTACTGCCAGAGACACTGGTCAAAATAACGGACTGAAGTTTCCTTCCACATTGTATTACTGTTTCTGGTTTGCAGGAGGGGAACCGGTAGAGGCATGAGAATCATCATACAAAGACCGATGCGGTACCTGAAACCTGGCAACCACACACTATGGAACAGTAGGATTCTATTAAGGATTGTAAACACACTAAAACTTCTGGGTTTTTTCCTTTGAAAGAATAAAAAGTTGGAGTTGCATAAATAAAAACCAAAGCTTCTATGTTTTTCCCAGAATGATACGTAATACCAAAGACCCCCGTTTCCTACTTTTAAAAGAAATAGGCACAATGTACCAGGGCATTGGTGGAGACTGTACTAATGAATAATTAGAAAAACCCACCTCTGCACACATGCAGCAAATGTACTATCCTTTAGGAAGTTTTGAATAATATTAAACATTTCAGAGAAGGCCCATGAAATTTAGTTCTCAACTCAGAAAACAACCTTAGGGACTATTTGTGAGTGCCATCTGGGGTCCAGGCAGCCTCATCCACAAAAGGGAGAACTTGTTGAGATCATCCAAATCTAAAATTCACATACATTTTTACATCTGGACTGAATTAATCTTTTCTTGGTACTGGCTTTCATGTAATAAAATAATTGTTTGCAGGTTTTTTGTGTTTGGGCTCTTTCTTTCTTTCTTAACTCACAGCTTTGGAAATCAAAATGGGCAACGTCCAAGTGGAAAACTACAAAGAATTTCTTTATCAAAAAAGTTAGTTGTTAGACAGGACTTATTTACACTACACCACTCAGAACCTGACAGCGCAGTCAAAAAACAATTCTGTTTGAAACTTTCATTTCAAGCATCTGCCAGAAAAAGCTACGCAGTTTATTGTGTCATAAGTTCTGAAAGCCAAAAGTTTTATAAGCGTAGTTAAATGAGGAAATGAGGTCCAGAAACTAGAAAAAGCTCTACAACTCCTCATCCCCTCCACCTCTAGCCCCCCAGCCCTCACCAGCACACAATTCAGCTAGCCCAATTGAATGCTGTATCTTGGGAACTTGTAGCTCAAATCTGCTACCTAGCACAGGACACTTTGCTCAAGAAGGCTGTACCCTCATCTCGGTGGCCCGGTTGTTTTCAGCCTTTTCCTTTGAGTTAGACCCACAGGCATTTTAAATATGTAAATTCAAGTTATGCTGGAAAGAAAGCAGGGGCTTCCCTCTACTGCCCTCCCCACAAATGAAGGGAGAAAAAGTCCTCCCTTAAAAAGTTTTGAACACTCCAAGGACCACCGATTACTGTGGTCTATCAGTGTCTGATCTCAGGGAGGCTTACAAGTAACTGGGGGTAGGGGTGGACACGGACTAGTTCATATTACAGTAAGTCTGCTTGCTGGAAAAGATATCCTGCAGATAACTTGATACTAGATATCCCTTGGGGGACCCTTTTCAGAGAATAACCCTGCCAACCGTCCATTTTAAAATGAAATATGAATCCAATATGTTTACAAACATATCGAAGAAAGCATTCAAATGACAGCTGTCCCATACTGTGGAGTATTCTCATTTTTAACACTACGCTTTTATATCTCAGGATCTAGGGAAAGTGGCTAGGTGTTAGAAAGTTTTATACAACAAAGGGCACAGGCAAAGGCATCTGTTGTCCCTGCTGCCTCTCCTCAGGTCTTCTCCCCTCCCCCTCTCTATCCAGAGGGCCGCTTGTGGGTCTGGGCTGTTGACAAGACTTTCTACAATCCTCTCCTCTTAATGCTCTATATTCTGAAAAACTTTTAAATCCACTAACATTACTAAGCCTAACCGTGTGCCCTGCTCTAAGAACACGAACACACACACACACACACATTTTTAAAATGACAGATGAATTCCGGAAAATTTCCCCCCCAAAGTTTTGATGCAGTGAAATATCAACTCCCTGAAATCACAGAGAGGAAATGACTTACATTCTTGAAAAATGAAGCCACTCGCAGCTTCTCCAACAGCATTTTCTAATCCCTGAACTACACCCTGTGGCAAGGGGGAGTATTCCGTGCCCAAACTCAATCTGAAGAGATGCTTATAAAACCAGTACACAAACATCGCCGGGTCCCGGAGGAGGAGGAGGAGGGAAAGGAATTATATATGGAAAATCCAGTAAGACAGACTTTTCCTCCACACTCAGAAACGCTGCGGAGCACAGGCTTGAGGTCACAAGCAATTCGAGAAGGCTCCTCTGAACTTTTCTTTCCCTGCTGTGAGCAACACACAGCTCCTGGGGGAATTCCTGGCAAAACAGATTTTTGCTAAAAAATAAGTAAAACATTTGAAAGCCAGAGGGGTGAGAGCCAAGGAGCAAATATTTCTTTGGACTCTAGCTAAATAATTGCACGGCCTGAAAACCTGCCCGCTTTCATTTTAACTTTAAACTGTGCTTATTTTGACAGCTTTCCACCACCTCCTCCAGCCTTTAAGAAAACGCCCTCACCACTGGGCTCCACTGTCCCGGGGACTCTGGGCGCTGCGTCCATCCATGTGTCCCCTCATGGGTGGCCCAGCTGGCCAGCCCTGACAGCGCCCGGCCCGCCCCAGGTCCGGCGGGTGGGCTCCAGTGTCCGGGCCAGAGGGGGTGTCGCAAGCCCCCCGGGGGGACCCGAATTCTACAGGCCGAGCCTGTCGCTCGCATCCCACAGAGGCCCCCATCTGGCGCCGCCCAGTCCCAGCGCAACCTGGGGCTCGGCCAACTAGGCACTTGCCGGGACGGCGGGACCCCGGGAGCCGCGCCACAGACCCCAGGAACCCGGGGCTCCAGAGCCGGCCCCGGCGCCCAGTCCCGCAGCTGGAGGCCCGCCAAGGCGCGACAGCCAGGCGCCCCCAGGACACGGCCTCGGGCACCCCCGGGAGGGAGCCCTGCGATCCCGGGATGCCTCGGCGCCCCGGGCGCAGTCCACGCCGGTCTCCCGCCTTCGCCGCACAGGCGGCCCCGGAGCACCTCCCCCGCTACCGGGCTCCGCTACCCCGGGGCCCGTGCCCCCGCCCCGGCGAGGACCCGAGAGGCGACCTTTCGCGCGGTGCTCCCACGTCCAGCGCCGAGGGAAACGAGGAAAGACCCGGGCAGGCGACACTGCATCGTGCGGCTGGCGACTTCCAGACACCTC